TTTGACAAGGTGTTGGCAGGTAAAGACACTCAGATTCTTGCTGCATAATGTTTTATTGCCTTGACAACTGCATCCCTCGTCCATGTTAATTTCACAAGAACATCATGTCAGGTCCCGTACAATGTACAGTAAGCTACAGGACATGTCTATGTAACGATGTACATTTCACCGCCATGTACACAAGTCACACTCATGCTTCTCATATCAAAAACACTATGTACACTGTACACAATAATATTACAATATATTACATTTTGATTAGCTTGGTTGACAATGTTTCAATACATGTAATACAGCAATCCTGTCCAAATCAAACCTTTAACCTTGGTGCCAAACTTCTGCATGGAGATCTGAACACCCCTTCAAAGAATCTCTCAAGGTCAGGTCATGTGACTGGATGACCGACCAGTCAAAATGAAGAAGGGATAGGTTCTTGAGCCAATTAGACATCAGGCATATTTTCTGTATCATTTCTTTAATATCTAATTTACAAATTTCATTCCAAGTATACAAAACTGGCCTACATGAATGTACCCTTGGTGTAGATGTATGGCATTTTGAATTGACATGATCCATAAAATATTCACTAAAATAAAACATGCAGGCTTCATTATCATTCACTGAGAACTTCATTATATCAGAGACCATATAATAGAGGGATGGCCCTCCCCAACAGTTTATCACTAACCATCAGCGCTACGGCCTGGCATGTAACTGATACACATCGACACCCTGCTGCTAACTTCCCTCTATTATATGGTCTCTGATTATATTATTCATGTTTTGATGTAAAGAAATCCAATATGATGGTTGAATGATTCACGAACTTAAACCAGAAAATTCAGTGTTGATTGGCTGAAGAGAATACTGACCTGACAGAACACCAGGTGTTCATGTTGACAGAAGTATCAGATTAAAGATTTGATATGGGTTGGATTCATAACAACAAACAAATTCAATGTCTTAATGGAGACAGGTCTGGGTAGTCGTGTTTGTATTTCTAATGCTGTATTCAACAATATTCAAGCCCTTACATACCATCACTGTAAAGACTTCACCAAAATATACCGATCCAATGCCATAAGTTATATTATGAAGGGGCGGTGGGGTGGCCTAGTGGTTAAAGCATTGGCTCGTCACGCCGAAGACCCGGGTTGGAATCCCCACATGGGTACAATGAGTGAAGCCCATTTGTAGTGTCCCCGCCGTGATATTGCTGGAATATTGCTAAAAGCGGCGTAAAACCAAACGCAGTTAGTCAGTTTATGAACAAGCAAGCTGAATGAATAATTTTGAATCAAACCTTGGCAGATATTTTCGCGTTTTATAACTTCTTCTGGGAATCTATTGAGTAAATGATTAAGGGGCATTTTTAGGAGTTGAGGTGATGAAGAATGATGATAATTTTATGGATATACAACTTCTATATTCTGTGAAAGGCAACGTTTCGACATAGATTCTAATGTCGTTGTCAAGCAAGTCGCAATGACATTAGAATCTATGTCGAAACATGGCCTCTCACAGCATGAAGAAGTTGTATATCCATAAAATTATCATCATTCACCTACTTCTAGATCACAAACTACTGCAGCTGGAGCTCACCTGAGCAAACAGTCAAGAATTTACAATGTCAGCCATTTAACATAAGTTGCTTTCAGTATGGACATTCAAACAATTTCTGTAGGCATACCTGGGACAAAACACTGGCACAAACGTCTATGAATCTGAACCAAAATCATGCCATCGAAAGAACTAACATGGCAAAGTACAGATTTTTAATTTCAGAGAACAATGTAGGCATGGAATACAAGACAAGGTATGACCAGGGTTGAGAAAAAATGAAATGAAATAACTTTACTGAAATTTCCCCAAAACAAAATAAATAAAAGAAAAGACTGAAAAGATATGTTCAGATCCACTGATAACTACGCATATGGTAAATTTAGTTATATTTCTAATGAAAGCTGCTTAGCAATGGCCATAGATCTTCATAAAATGTATTTAATTCTATGGAATATTCAGTTATCACCACTGGCAAGCATGTTAATCTTCAGCATCACTGGCTTCTGATAGGAGACACAGAAGACGACAGACAGACAAACCTGAGTCAGATAATCTACAAATGAAAGCATTGGGGGAAAAAAAATACCAGTTTCAGCCACGGTATGGCTGAGAGTTCATCAGTCAGACACCAGGTACATGCACAAACATTCACCCATTTTGATGAATGGTCAAATCTAAAATGTTATGTAAATCTATTTTTCCATTTCCATAGTCATGGAATTACTGCAGAACAACAAAACTAATTTGATGATGGTCAATATAAATAAGATATAAAAGTCGACCTGATATACAAATCATAATTAATTATATATCAACATATGTAAACATTTGGCAACATGTTTCCTTATCCGGCTGAAAAAACAGCAGCATTATGATAAAATAAAATATGGTAAAATATTTCTAAAGTATTACATATACATATGTACATATAGTGAGTATTTGACTTCAACTTCTAAATGAAAATAAAAAGGAATGTTTGTAAAATTCATATATGGCAACATGTGACCAGCAGTCAGTTTCAGCAGTTTATGAGTTAAGACTTGAGTGAGTGAATGAGTGAGTTTAGTTTTATGCCACAATCAGAAATATTCCAGCCATATGTGGGTACAATGTGTGAAGCTCATTTCTGGTGTCCCCCAATGTGATATTGCTGGAATATTGCTAAAAGCGGCGTAAAACCAAACTCACTCACTCCAGCCATATGGCGGCATTCTGTAAATAATAGAGTCTGGACCAGACAATCCAGTGATCAAATATGCTTAAATATGATGATGTAAACATTCTCTCCAGCTCACCCTCTCATCATAGCACAACATATTCGATTAGCAGTTGAACATTTAGTTAACAACACATTTCTCTTGAACATGAGTGAAATATTATCTAACCTGAATTAAATAATAACCTATGAGAAACAGCTGATTTGGATGTATTTAAATTAATTTTGGATGTTCAGCATTTGAAAAGAGACGGAATGGAACTGTATTGCCATGCTTTATTTTTGTATTACCTCTAATAATTCTTATGAGAAATGGCTAAAATGTGGAATTTATCAGCAGAGACAACTCAGCCAGTCTGTGATGTCAGATGCAATCGAAAGACACAATTAGTGCCAAATCTAACTTTTTTCACAGGTTGTTCAGTAACCCCAAATAGTGATGGGGACCCTCAAAAGGACTAAAATCTGTACTTTGCTGAGGAAGTGTAATCCCAAATATAACATATGTTATTCCTTCAAAGAGGTTAAAGAAAATATTCTCTGATAATATTTGCAATGACAGATAAACTACAGATTCTGGTGTTCCTTAACTTTTTGCTAGTAGTATATGATGACGCTCTGAGCGTATACAGGAGTGTATACTGTAGAATGAGTGCAAGCGTACCTGTTTCTTAATCATATACAACACAGATCACATGACATTAAAAACACACCATTCTTACAACACTCATGGTTTAACGAGCATGTAGCCTGGTGTTGCCACAAAAGGTTTTAGTTTCAATCACATGTTTTCTGTTAAGTCATCTCCTAATAATGTTTTTTTTTCTTTGAGAGGCATTTTAGAAGTTGTATAGATGAAGGAAAACCAAGTTCTAGGGATAGTCAATGAGGGCGACGTAACACTCATTGCAATAAAGAAGTTGACTATCCATAGAACTTGGTTATCCTTCATGTGTTTTTTTTGTCTTTTGAAATGTGAGAACCCACATCACATAAACAAATCACAGAAGAAAAAAAAAGTGTTGTGTTTGATCAAAATTTTCATCATTTACTGTAGGGAAAGGGAGACACTGAGTCTACTGGTTTAAGATCCAGTATAATGTCAGCACAATGTTTGTTAAAGAATAATTCATGTCAGCTACAACTGCCTCTTATAGCGTCATGTTGTGCAACCACCTCTGTCAGACCTGCAGAGTGAGTGAGTATGGTTTTACGCCACTTTTAGCAATATTCCAGCAACATCATGGCAGGGGACAGCAAAAAATGGGCTTCACACATTATACCCATGTCGGGAATCAAACCCAGGTCTTCGGCGTGATGAGCGAACACTTTAACCACTGGGCTACCCAACCAACCCACAAGTTTGTGACATAACTTGAAACCTTCATGACTGAAGAATCCAAATGATTAGTAGAACAGCCCATCACAACAGCATTGGTCAAGGATTTTGAATTTTGGTAAAGTGTATTACAGATTTGAATTTAGACATATCTGCACAAAAACACATAGTTAGAATTAAATTTTGAATCTCCAAAATGTAATACAGTTTGCTTTTTCATTTTTTGTGGTGAAATAAAGTATAAATCTGCCCTGAACTATTATAGGTGTGGTGAACTAGGATAAGGTCGAAGCATTTCGTCGTCAACGTCTTTGTGCTTTAACTATATTAGTTATAGCTAAACTATACTCCTTTACACAACACTTGAGGTTAGAGCAAAATATATTTCTTAAGTATGGTTTCAACTAGTGTTGGGAATTGGTTGAAATCTCACAATTGATGATTGTTTCATTACCAACGAACAATCATCGAAAAAAATTGGTTAGCGTCATTTTTCAGATTTTCCTATCCAGGTTGTTACTGCAGATATTTATAACATGATGCAACTTGCTACTTTAAAGTCACAGTGATGACTAATATATCATGAACATAAACTTACCGGAGTCTTCAAGAAATATTCAGTCATGGCTTTTCAGTTAGTGAAGTGAGTTTTCTAAGAATTAAACACGTTTTCAGGCCCTGACAACTTCAACGATATGTTCCATTGTCAAGTATTTCAAATACTAAAACAGTAGTTCCAAAATCGTTTATGTTCGTTAATGAGAAAATGTGATCGATTGCTTGGTTGTTTGGTCACTGCGATCAATCTTCGATTATTTCAATTAATCGGAACACCACTAGTTTCAACTCAACAGTTTGCATTTACAGAGAAAAACAAAAGTGTATTTCATTCAGTTTCTTTTTACTTTTAACAAAGGTAGGGTTGTTAGGTGCATGGAACACAAACATTTGCAAAGTATATCTTACTTGAGAGAATCAACAAAAATGATATAGCAGTTTTTAAAATATTGGTAATCTGAAAAAAGCAATTAACTTCATATGCAAAGAAATGTAGAAATCTCATAAATTATCACATTGCTATGAACATAAATAAAACGTTATGAAAAGTATAATTTTATAAAATGTCATACATAGTAAAATGACATAAAATGCCTGAGCAGTTCATAAACATTTCTAATATTCAACTTAGTTACTATGGTAACAACAAACAGAACAAAAGAGTACTTAATAGCAGGGGACACCAGGAATGGGCTTCGCACGTGCTACCCATGTTGGGGACTTGAACCCAGGTCTTAGGCATGATGAGTGAACACTTTAACCGCTAGGTTACCCTGACGTAACTGTATCAGAAACACAGAGTCAGATGAAAGGGATGCTAGGTCGAACATGGCGTGATTGTTCAACATATTACATGACACTGTGCGTAACAGTTCATAACAAAATATAATAAGACTATATACAATAATATCAACAAGCATGCCTCATCTCACAAACATACAGAATTCATTACATATTCCCTGTAATAATGAGTCTCCCTGTGTTCCACCCTGAAGCCATTTCAGGCGATTGTTGTTTATTTGCATCCCAGAATTATTTTGTCATAGTAACAAGTAGCAGGGGGAATAAAAATATTTAAAAAAGAACAAAAACATAACCTCATTTTTTTTATTGATTATTGAATATTTAAAAAGAAACCATTTTCAGTTCAGTTTAAATTCACTTCTGAACACTCTCGCAAGGTGTACATTTGAGTAATACACTACTCACAGCTGCGTTTTTGGGGTATTTTTTTCTCATCAGCACATAAAAGAGTTGGTTTTGGCAAAGTATTTATATCTAGGACTTAGGGCATATTTCTTGACTCAGTACACAAAAACTTTCACCACAACTCATTGACTTAATTGGCAAATTATTGATGCCAAATCAAGCATCGTAAGATTTATAGTTGACTTTCAAAAAACTAGCATCTACATAATTTTGCATCTGTATTGTTTTAGCGAAAATATTGCAAATTTTTAAGTCATTGAATGACATTGATTAATAAAAATTTGGATTACATTTTCACCCACAGTTTTAAAAATAGTAGGGTTGGCACATCAGTGAACCAACAAAAAATCCAGACAATAACAACATCGCTAATAGTAAAATATTAACTTCAAATTGTTTTCTCAAGGAAGTATCATCTGTACAAGAAAAGAATGGCACATGACAACAAATAGATTATGACTTCGAAACAAAAATCTGATATTTTTATATTTGCCTGAAAGGATTATGCTGTAAAACCATTATACCTCTTAAGCACAACATAAAAAAACTGTTTATCTTGAAACAAATAATTTCAACAACATTCAAATTACCTTTTTTTGGTGACTACTGAAGAAAACATAGCTAGACCAACAATAAATAATCAACATAAATGCTGTAGCTGGCTTTAACACATAATCATCAACATAATATACCCTTTAAAAAACAATCTCTGTTACTAAGAACTGTCATGTTATAATGCATTTATATTTTTCAAACAAAAATACCCTGAGAGGACTAAGATATTTAACCATTGGACGTATTGGCATCCACAGTCTCTGATGAGGGCTGTTCTTTATCACCTGACTCCTTTGATGAAGGTGGTTCTTCATCACCTGCATCCACTGAGGGCTGTTCTTTATCACCAGGACTGTTTGATGAAGAAAAATCCTTATCATCCTTCAACAATGGAGTGAGTGACGACTGAGAATTTGTAGCGCTGCTCTTCATGGGAGAACTTGATTTCTTCCTCTTCCTCTTATCCTTCTTCCTCCTTGGCATCGTTGACGCCTCTTCGGTAGTTCCTCTTCCATCCTCATCTTCATGCTGCAGAGTTTCCAGACTCCTGGCACCGCTGACATTGTCTTTGTCCCGTTGGTCTGAGGTCACAGAAAACACAGACCTTGTCGGTGACTTGTGTGACAAGCTATCAAACTTGTCAGTATTGCTTAAGATGCTAACACCATCCAACAAATCTACATTGCCCACATCACCAGATTTGCCGATAAGAGGGAACACACGGTTACTGTACATCATTGGCTTTCTGCTCTTGGGGCTTCCGAGAATTGGACCTGAAGGCATGATACGCTCCACTTGTTTCGGCCGCCCATTTGGAATGATTGGCAGACCTTGCTCCCGTATTGGCGACATGTCCTGACCCCTGGGACTGATTTTCAATGACCTCAGGGTCAGATATAAATGTCTGACCTTTGGTAAGGTCAATGTCACGTTCCCAGGCAAGCTGTGCTACAGTGGAAGAGAAAGTCTGCCCGAACAGATCTGCAGACGACGATAACTTTTCGTCATCGAAAGAAGTACTCTCTATTTGCGTCAGTGTGGGTCTGGATCGGTATTGAAGGCGATCAATATTAACTGTCTCACCACGTTTCCGAGCTTCCTTCAGTTGGGTCACTATCTCCTTGCCAATCCGCTAAAAAGACAAAAAAGACAAGGTATTGAAAATATCAAAACCCTAGCAATTTCCAAACATATTATCATGTATATATCTGTTTGATGGTATTCCTTACCAATAATAATCTAGTCTGCTTGCAGTGAAAACGTATCGATGAATTTCACTTTAAACAAAGAAGTAAACCAAATAAAGTGAAATTAAGATTGTTGCGAATCCTCATAATTTTACCTTGCCAATTGAACATTTAAATCTCAGAATTTTATTCTTCTTAGATTTTGACAATTTTACATTTGACATTTTAGTTTTGACAATCATAGTTCCAAATTGCTATTTTTGGTTTGTATTACAAGGGGGGTAAGCGCAGTAGTTGGAACAGTGAAACAAATGCGCGTGCAGTACATGATGAGTGTTAACTTAGACCAACCCTATTTGTTCTCAGTGTTTCATTCTGAGATTTAAACGTTCAGTTGGCAAGGTGAAATTATGAGGATTCTCAATCTTAATTTCACTTTAGTTGACTTACTTTTTTGTTTAAAGTTAAATTCATCGGCACGTTTTCACTGCAAACAGACTATAAGAGCAGCCCTTTCACAGTTTAGATGTTGATGTTTATTGGACTAAATGCATGTACCTTTTATCTGTGAATCTTACTCAACACTAAGGGACAAATATACTACCCATCAAAAGTTTAGACTCACTAGTGTAAATGTAGCCACTTACTTCAGTCAACTGTTCTGAACTAGATTTTGCCAAATATTCCATACTGTTTAAAGGTACTGTTTACACATGAACTGATGTATTGTAAAACATATTTGTAACGTTGAAATGATTATTGTCATAAGTTCAATAAATGATGAAACTCAGTGAAAATTGGTGAAATCTAAACAAAACTTTAACCCAAACGCAGCTGTTCACATGCACGATATTTGCACATGCTTTTCAGCAATTTGATGCATGATCCTCGTGCAATTCTTCTGCATAAGGTTTACAGTTGGTTCCCCCAAGTTAGTGGAGAAATCAATCTTCGATGTAACCATATGTATATACATAACATATAGTGAGTGCTTTGAGTGAGTCTAAACTTATGATGGGTAGTATATGTTACGAAACCATACACTACCTGCACATTGGTATCTATAATTCACAACAATAACCTTGACATGGTCAGGCCTGTTGTTATATACTTATACCATGTCAGTATAATTTTAAGTCACAGAAATTAGGTAAATGATCCTCCGCAAGGAAATAAAATCATGAATGTAGGTATTCTGGGCCGGACGCATGTTACAGAAAAAAACCTGTCTGTCATATCTTTTTGTAGTTATACAACTCCGAAATCAGTTCACCCATGAGGTGAGGTGAGGTGAAATTGGGTTTAACGTCGTGCTTGAGAATATTTCGCTCATATGACGACGTGCATGCGTGTGTACGTGTAGATGCGGCTCCTTGTACTAGCCCAGACTGAAGCTGGTTTTATAGTGCTAGCCCACTGAGATACCATGCCGCAGTGAAGCATGAATACCCCACTCAGACACAGTATACTGACTCCGAGCCGACCAGTCCTTCTTGTACCCATCAATGCCGAGCGCCAGGCAGGGACCAACAAGTACCATATTTTAACGCTTTTGGTATGACGCGGTCGGGGGATCGAACCCGCGACCTTCCGCTCTCCGGGCGGACGCTCTAACCACTACACCACGGAGGCGGTCAGTTCACCCATGAACAGCTGTGTTACAATTGGTCTTCAGCAACCCATACTTGTCAAACAAGCAAAAAACAACAAAAAAAACAACCAAACAAACAGAAATTAGTCAGTAGTATGCCATCTATATCAAGGACAACATAATTTGTAGGGCTGTGTATTGGCAAATAAATTGTCTTGCAATATCGCGTTTCAGGTACCCATATTGCATTACATATTGTGATATATTGGGTAAGTAAGTTTTTCTACATGATAGGTCAAATTTTTTGTTTGTTATGGTTCTGATAACAGTAATCTCAAAATTAGGTTGCATGGTCTGGGGGTTCTAGTTTCTTTTTTAATACAGTTTATAATATTACAGTATGTCGTTTTGTTATTGAATGATGAAGGAAAACATCTGTTGTGAATGAAAGTCTGTGTAGATTTCATTTTAAACCATAAAGATAATCATAAAAACTTCATAGATGATCTTTACCCAATATACCAGATCTCCGAAAAATATCATAAATACGCATCATTTGAAAAGTGCATTGTGGTATACTAGTAATACCATGCAGTCCTAATAATTTGACAAACCAATAACTGATATCATGACGATGATCAGTGTCGATGACTGCCACCAGTCCTGTTGCTAACTCTCACCACCAGTGCCGATCTACTGGCAAACAAGGAAAAGTTGAACACCGACCTGACAATTGACCCATATTAGCATGTATGAGTGCCACCCACTGGGGCTTGCCATTGTTATCGAAGGGGAGCCAGGTTGTCCACGATCAAGCATAGTGCGACTTGCTACACCGACGTGAGTCTTATCAGCAAGGCGTGTTCAGCTATGCCCGCAATCAATTTCATCGTCATGCAATGTACGTGCACTAGCCTACGTCTGCTCCACCTTTCACAAACCAAATGGGTTTGCTCATTGCTGTGCACTGCCTACTTCTCGTAAACGTGTTCTCTGGGTCGGTCCAACGTATCCTTGTTTGCCAGCAGTTGTGTCTTACATTAACCGACAACATGCTTCAGGTGTGGTGGTATCATGGACTACAGTCAAACAGCATAACACAACACATCTGTGGATGAGTGAGTGAGGTTAGTTTACGCCACACTCACCAATATTCCAACTATATGGCGGTGGTCTGTAAATAATCCAGCCTGGACCAGATAATCCAGTGATCAAAATCTACGCAATTGGGATACGATGACATGTGTCAACCAAGTCAGCAAGCCTGACCGCCCTATCCCGTTTGTCGCCTCTTACGACAAGTATGGGTTACTGAAGATAAATATTCTAACCCAGATCTTCACGGGTCTGTGGATGAGAGTGAGTGAGTGAGTGAGTGAGTGAGTTTTGTTTTACGTCGCACTCAGCAATATTCCAGCCATATGGCAGTGGTCTGTAAATAATTGAGTCTGGACCAGACAATCCAGTGATCAGCAGCATGAGCATCAACCTGCGCACCTGGGAACCGATGACATGTGTCAACCAAGTCAGCGCGCCTGACCACCCGATCCCGTTAGTCGTCTCTTACAACAAGCATGGGTTACTGAAGATCAATATTCTAACCCACGGGTACTGTGGATGAGAAACCCAGTTAGATAGCTGGTATAAAGCCAATGAGATCGAATACCAGTTCCGTGATTGGCTGCTCCATGGTGATGACCTTAGGTCAGACTAAAACGGACTACTTCCCTGATGGTAATTTCGGGATAAGTTTGATGAAGTTCAGTTAATCTTCATAGATTTTGGAAGTCTTAGGCTATTTGATGTGTACCATGAATTAATGCATGACCATGATTATGATAAGAGACAAAATATGCCAAAACACTGCAATCATAGGGTATGCAAAACATCACAGCACACGAACCTGTTAATTTATCTTACAACTCATTATATTAGTAGTTGCATTGGAAGTAGTAGCAGCACAAGTAGTAGTAGTAGTAGTAGTCTAAACTTTGATTGACTTGAACGTATTATCAGCTGATATAGCCATCACACAACAGAATTAAACGTACCACGCTGTGAATGATGCCGTTTCTGTCTCATGTTTCATGCCCTAGTTGACTACACTGGACACTACTTGTGCCAGGTAACACTCAGTGGTGCGGGTTTTATGTTTCAATGACTGTACCGCCCAGGATTTCCCTTTCTGGTAAACACAGTCATAAATATATTGAAAATTTGTTGAACAGGCCACGCGTTAGACAAAACCAGGAATTTGACATTAGTCAAAAACACTGATAAATACATTGAAAGTTTGCTGTTAAAAGTATGGACAAACAGCAAGAATTTGAAGCGACCAAAAAAATCCTGTGCTGGGATTCAAACCACAAACTTTCTGATCCAAAGTCGGACGCCTTGTCCACATGACTAAAGAAGTTAAACCAGTCAAGCTGACAATTCCTGTTCAAGAGAAACCTATTTTCAAAGTATCTTGCACATTTGTCCCAAAAAATGTCACTATGAAACTTTGTTACTTTACTTTTTGGAAAGTCTCTGTTGAAATATAAAACCTTGTAATAACCCATTAAGGTGCACTATCAATTAAACATTACGTCTTGTACAACTTGTTTGCGTCCTATTAATATGCACTGGCACATTCTTTTGAAAACTGATGAAATTGCGACCCTCTACGAGAACCCTACCTCTCTGTATTGTATAAGTCGAGCATGGTGTATGACTCCACTAGAATATATGTGTCCTTGTTAGGCATGTCTGTTATCGCCATCTTTTGTGTGGCAGTTTCCTTTATTTACTGTGTACATGAATAACACCAATTTTGTATGCAAACAACATATCAGCGACAATGAAAAGATTACATCTTGTCATCTTGTGTCAGCAATAAATTGTCCCCTTTCTCAATCACTCATGGGGTATGGTCTCTTACAGACAACTCTATTGTCGTAAGTTAAGGAATGCATGCGACGTTTACGAGGTGCAACTGCATTTAGTCTGTATAAAAACAGCAGTAGAATGCCCCTAGAATGCCCTTAACTGTAGAGGCCTGACAATGAGGTATCAGTAGCATGCCTTATGAAGGCACTGCAGAGGGCCTTACAATGAGGTCCCTGTCTGTATTGAGGTGCTAAAGAAGGCCTTACAATGAGCTCCCTGTCTGTATTGAGGTGTTAAAGAAGGCCTTACAATGAGCTCCCTGTCAGTATTGAAGTGCTGCGGAGGGCCTTACAATGAGCTCCCTGTCTGTATTGAGGTGCTAAAGAGGGCCTTACAATGAGCTCCCTGAGTAGGGCCTTAATATGTCTGTATTGAGGTCCTGCAGAGGGCCTTACAATGAGCTCCCTGTAGCATGTATGTATTGAAGTGCTGCAGAGGGCCTTACAATGAGCTCCCTGTAGCATGTCTGTATTGAAGTGCTGCAGAGGGCCTTACAATGAGCTCCCTGTAGCATGTCTGTATTGAGGTGCTGCAGAGGAGCTCCCTGTAGCATGTATGTATTGAGGTGCTGCAGAGGGCCTACAAGCATCCCTCTGTATTCTGTATTGAGGTGCTGCAGAAGACCTTACAATGAGCTCCCTGTAGCATGTATGTATTGAGGTGCTGCAGAGGCCCTTACAGTGAGCTCCCTGCAGCACTGTATTGAAGTGCTGCAGGGGGCTTTACAATGAGCTCCCTGTAGCATATCTGTATTGAGGTGCTGCAGAAGGCCTTACAATGAGCTCCCTGTAGAATGTCTGTATTGAAGTGCTGCAGAGGGCCTTACAACGAGGTCCATGTAGCATGTCTGTATTGAAGTGCTGCAGAAGGCCTTACAATGAGCTCCCTGTAGAATGTCTGTAATGAAGTGCTGCAGAGGGCCTTACAATGAGCTCCCTGTCTGTATTGAAGTCCTGCAGAGGGCCTTACAACGAGGTCCATGTAGCATGTCTGTATTGAAGTGCTGCAGAGGGCCTTACAATGAGCTCCCTGTAGCATATCTGTATTGAGGTGCTGCAGAGGGCCTTACAATGAGCTCCCTGTAGCATATCTGTATTGAAGTGCTGCAGATGGCCTTACAATGAGCTCCCTGTAGCATATCTGTATTGAAGTGCTGCAGAGGGCCTTACAATGCGCTCCCTGTAGCATATCTGTATTGAAGAGCTGCAGAGGGCCTTACAATGAGCTCCCTGTAGCATGTATGTTTTGAGGTGCTGCAGAGGGCCTTACAATGAGCTCCCTGTAGCATATCTGTATTGAAGTGCTGCAGAGGGCCTTACAATGAGCTCCCTGTAGCATATCTGTATTGAAGTGCTGCAGAGGGCCTTACAATGAGCTCCCTGTAGCATGTATGTATTGAGGTGCTAAAGAAGGCCTTACAATGAGCTCCCTGTAGCATGTCTGTATTGAGGTGCTGCAGAGGGCCTTACAATGAGCTCCCTGTCTGTATTGAAGTGCTGCAGTGGGCTTTACAATGAGCTCCCTGTAGCATGTCTGTATTGAAGTGCTGCAGAGGGCTTTACAATGAGTTCCTGTAGCATGTATGTATTGAAGTGCTGCAAAAGGCCTTACAATGAGCTCCCTGTAGCATGTCTGTATTGAAGTGCTGCAGAGGGCCTTACATCGAGGTCCATGTAGCATGTCTGTATTGAGGTGCTGCAGAAGGCCTTACAATGAGCTCCCTGTAGAATGTCTGTATTGAAGTGCTGCAGAGGGCCTTACAATGAGCTCCCTGTAGCATATCTGTATTGAAGTGCTGCAGAGGGCCTTACAATGAGCTCCCTGTAGCATATCTGTATTGAAGTGCTGCAGAGGGCCTTACAATGAGCTCCCTGTAGCATGTATGTATTGAGGTGCTAAAGAAGGCCTTACAATGAGCTCCCTGTAGCATGTCTGTATTGAGGTGCTGCAGAGGGCCTTACAATGAGCTCCCTGTCTGTATTGAAGTGCTGCAGTGGGCTTTACAATGAGCTCCCTGTAGCATGTCTGTATTGAAGTGCTGCAGAGGGCCTTACAATGATCTCCCTGTAGCATATCTGTATTGAGGTGCTGCAGAAGGCCTAACAATGAGCTCCCTGTAGCATGTCTGTATTGAAGAGCTGCAGAGGGCCTTACATCGAGGTCCATGTAGCATGTCTGTATTGAAGTGCTGCAGAGGGCCTTACAATGAGCTCCCTGTAGCATATCTGTATTGAAGTGCTGCAGAGGGCCTTACAATGAGCTCCCTGTAGAATGTCTGTAATGAAGTGCTGCAGAGGGCCTTACATCGAGGTCCATGTAGCATGTCTGTATTGAAGTGCTGCAGAAGGCCTTACAATGAGTGAAGTGCTGCAGAGGGCCTTGCTTGAGGGTCCCTGTACAATTGAAGTGCTGCAGAAGGCCTTACAATGAGCTCCCTGTAGCATGTCTGTATTGAAGTGCTGCAGAGGGCCTTACAATGGCTCCCCTTAGCAATGAAGCTCCCTGTAGCATGTCTGTATTGAAGTGCTGCAGAGGGCCTTACAATGAGCTCCCTGTAGAATGTCTGTATTGAAGTGCTGCAGAGGGGCCTTACAATGAGCTCCCTGTAGCATGTCTGTATTGAAGTGCTGCAGAGGACCTTACAATGAGCTCCCTGTAGCATGTCTGTATTGAAGTGCTGCAGAAGGCCTTACAATGAGCTCCCTGTAGCATGTCTGTATTGAAGTGCTGCAGAGGGCCTTACAATGAGCTCCATGTAGCATGTCTGTATTGAAGTGCTGCAGAAGGCCTAACAATGAGGTCCATGTAGCATGTCTGTATTGAAGTGCTGCAGAAGGCCTTACAATGAGCTCCCCTGTAGAATGTCTGTATTGAAGTGCTGCAGAGGGCCTAGCAGGGCTTGAGGTCCCTGTATGAAGTGCTGCAGAGGGCCTTACAATGAGGTCCATGTAGCATGTCTGTATTGAAGTGCTGCAGAAGGCCTAACAATGAGGTCCATGTAGCATGTCTGTATTGAAGTGCTGCAGAAGGCCTTACAATGAGCTCCCTGTAGAATGTCTGTAATGAAGTGCTGCAGAGGGCCTTACAATGAGGTCCCTGTAGCATATCTGTATTGAAGTGCTGCAGAAGGCCTAACAATGAGCTCCCTGTAGAATGTCTGTATTGAAGTGCTGCAGAGGGCCTTACAACGAGGTCATCTGCAGTATGGGATAGACACCATTACTCCCCTTGTATAGAGTGCTCCGCTGAGCAGAGACTATTTACAGCCTTGCTTACAGTTATCCACTTCTGAGACGTTTCCCAGACACTTCTTGTACCAATATATGAGTGATTTGACTGCAATTGGAGGCCTTTGTTCTACAACCTGTCTAGTGACATATCTACTTCCCAGTTCCCACTGGATGCCTCTCCGAAATCACAGTACACATATGTATTTTCTGATTTCTGGGTCATCCTATGCATGTTCTGAATCAACTCGTAACTTGCCTATGACTGTATGTCACTAAACATGATTATGTATACCACAGGAAGTTTGTTCTAACTTACAAGAACCATACTGGACGCTGTGTTCAGTCTCACCTTCCAGTTGCTGATGGCTGCCTTCCTCTGCTTTGCCTTTGTCTTGGAGGTTGTCTTAATCACCACGAGAGCCCTGGCCTCGGTCTTCTGGTTGTCTGGGGTGGGAGGTCCGGCAATCTTCACAGCATACTCCTGCTGGAACTTGAGGAGCTGCTTCTTGGAGAACCCTCGCTCCACCACAACCACGATCTTAGCCCACTGAAACACAACCACAATAATAACCCACTGAAATACAACCACGATCTTAGCTCACTGAAATACAACCACGATCTTAGCCCACTGAAACACAACCACAATCATAACCCACTGAAATACAACCACGATCTTAGCCCACTGAAACACAACCACGATCTTAGCCCACTGAAACACAACCATGATCTTAGCCCACTGAAATACAACCACAATAATAACCCACTGAAATACAACCACGATCTTAGCCAACTAAAACACAACCATGATCTTAGCCCACTGAAACACAACCACGATCTTAGCCCACTGAAATACAACCACGATCTTAGCCCACTGAAATACAACCACAATCTTAGCCCACTGAAATACAACCACGATCTTAGCCAACTAAAACACAACCACGATCTTAGCCCACTGAAATACAACCACGATCTTAGCCCACTGAAATACAACCACTATCCTAGCCCACTGAAACACAACTTAGCCCACACGATCTTAGCCCACTGAAACACAACCACGATCTTAGCCCACTGAAATACAACCACGATCTTAGCCCACTGAAATACAACCACGATCTTAGCCCACTGAAATACAACCACGATCTTAGCCCACTGAAATACAACCACGATCTTAGCCCACTGAAATACAACCACGATCTTAGCCCACTGAAATACAACCACGATCTTAGCCAACTAAAACACAACCACGATCTTAGCCCACTGAAATACAACCACGATCTTAGCCCACTGAAATACAACCACGATCTTAGCCCACTGAAATACAACCACGATCTTAGCCCACTGAAATACAACCACGATCTTAGCCCACTGAAATACAACCACGATCTTAGCCCACTGAAATACAACCACGATCCTAGCCCACTGAAACACAACCACGATCTTAGCCCACTGAAACATAACCACCACTGAAACATAACCACGATCTTAGCACACTGAAACACAACCATAATCTTAGCATACTGATAATTGCAGCCATGATCTTAGCCCACTGAAAGTGCAACCATGATCTTAACCCACAGAAACACAATCATAATCTTAGCATACTTATAATTGCAGCCATGATCTTAGCCCACTGAAACACAAGCATGATCTTAGCCCACTGAAATTGCAGCCATGATCTTAGCCCACTGAAACACAACCACGATCCTAGCCCACTGAAACACAACCATGATCTTAGCCCACTGAAACTGCAGCCATGATCTTCGCCCATTGAAATTGCAGCCATGATCTTAGCCCACTGAAATTGCAGCCATGATCTTAGCCTACTGAAATTGCAGCCATGATCTTAACCCACAGAAACACAACCATAATCTTAGCACATTGAAACACAACCATAATCTTAGCACTCTGAAACACAATCATAATCTTAGCCTACTGAAATTGCAGCCATGATCTTAACCCACAGAAACAGAACCATAATCTTAGCACATTTAAACACAACCATGATCTTAGCACACTGAAACACAATCATAATCTTAGCATACTGAAATTGCAGCCATGATCTTAGCCCACTGAAACACAACAAATATGTTAACACACTCAACAACAACCATGATTTTAGCACACTGAAACACAATTTCCTTAATCCAAGCACCCTGAAACAAAACCCCAAACTTAGCCCACTGAAACACAACCATAATCTTAGCACACTGTCACGATATGGCTGCAATATTGCCGATGGGACATTAAATTTTAACTCATTCACTCTTATCACACTGAAACACAACAATGATGTTAGCCCACTCAAACACCACCATGGCCTTAGCACACTCAACAACAACAATCATAAGCACAAGCACACTGAAATTACAGCCATGATCCTAGCACACTGAAACAAAAAACAATCTTGGCCAACAAAAACACAATTATGACATTAGCCCACTTGAACACAACCAGGAGCTTAGCCTAATGAAACACTAGCATAACATTAACTCGCTCCAACATCCAAAATCTTAGCTCAATGAAATAGGATGATCTTAGCGCCCAATGAAACACATCACGTACCTGTTTCCTCCACTCTTTCTCGGACTTGGAGATGACCTGGGTGTAGGTGTTGCCCATCATGGCTATCAACATGTTCAGCAGCAGGATCGGCACCAGGAACATGAAGAACGCAAATACTATCTTTGTCAGCTGGGGGTAGCGGGCGTAGTTGAACGGCTCGTACTGAAACAGACATCAGTCCAGTAACACCACTGAAATAGCCTTAAAGTGAGTGAGTGAGCATGTTTTTTCGCCGCTTTTAGCAATATTCCAGGAATATCTCGGAAGGGGACACCAGAAATGGGCTTCACACATTGCACCCATGTGGGGAATCGAACCTGGGTCAATGGCATTCCAGGAACACTTTAACCAGCAGGGGACCCCACCCTGAAATAGCCATCCTATCACTTATTTCATCTCTGAAACTTCATTGTCCTCAAGACTGGGTCTTAGGCATGAAGATCTGTTGATTGGTAACTATTGTTGATTTAACCAGTAGGCTCCTGTCCTGTAATGTCTTAGAAATAGACATCAAGACACTTATTGGTCAATCTCTATGAAACATCATTCCTGTATTGTCTTAGAAATAGACATCAAGACTGTTGATTGGTCAACACTGCTATTGCTGAAACATCATTCCTGTATTGTCTTAGAAATAGACATCAAGACTGTTGATTGGTCAACACTGCTATTGCTGAAACATCATCTTAGAAATAGACATCAAGACTGTTGATTGTCTTACTGCTATAGACATTCATTGTCTTAGAAATAGACATCAAGACTGTTGATTGGTCAACACTGCTATAGCTGAAACATCATTCCTGTAATGTCTTAGAAATAGACATCAAGACTGTTGATTGGTCAACACTGCTATAGCTGAAACATCATTCCTGTATTGTCTTAGAAATAGACATCAAGACTGTTGATTGGTCAACACTGTATTTGAAACATCATTCCTGTAGACAGAAATAGACTGTTTGATTGGTCAACACTGACATCAAGACTGTTGATTGGTACTGCTATAGCTGAAACATCATTCCTGTATTGTCTTAGAAATAGACATCAAGACTGTTGATTGGATTGGTCTGAAAACACTCCTGAAACATCATTCCTGTATTGTCTTAGAAATAGACATCAAGACTGTTGATTGGTCAACACTGCTATTGCTGAAACATCATTCCTGTATTGTCTTAGAAATAGACATCAAGACTGTTGATTGGTCAACACTGCTATTGCTGAAACATCATTCCTGTATTGTCTTAGAAATAGACATCAAGACTGTTGATTGGTCAACACTGCTATTGCTGAAACATCATTCCTGTATTGTCTTAGAAATAGACATCAAGACAGTTGATTGGTCAACACTGCTATAGCTGAAACATCATTCCTGTATTGTCACTGAAACAGACAATCAAGATGTTGATTGGTCAACACTGCTATTGCTGAAACATCATTCCTGTATTGGCCTTAGAAATAGACATCAAGAATGTTGATTGGTCAACACTGAAATTGCTGAAACATCATTCCTGTATTGTCTTAGAAATGAAACATCAAGACTGTTGATTGGCCAACAAAACACAATTAGCTGAAACATCATTCCTGTATTGTCTTAGAAATAGACACAGACCAGGGCAACACTGCTAATGAAACACATTCCTGTAGTCATGACATTAACTGTTGATCGGCTCCAACATCCAAAATCATTTAGCTAGAAATGAAATCAGGATGATCTTGGTCAACACTGCTAAATGAAACATCATCCTGTATTACCTGAAATTCCTCCACTGTTGATCGGACTTGGAGACACCTGGTGTAGGTGTTGCCCATCATGGCTATCAACATGTTTAGCAGCAGGATCGGCACCAGGAACATGAAGAGCATCAAACACTATCTTGCTGTCAGCTGTATTGGAAATAGGCGAGTTGAGTTGAGCGCCTTCATACTGAAACAGACATCAGTCCAGTAAATTCTTAGAAATAGACATCAAGACTGTTGATTGGTCAATTGCTGAAACATCATTCCTGTATTGTCTTTAGACATCAGCTATAGCTGAAACATCATTCCTGTATTGTCTTAGAAATAGACATCAAGACTGTTGATTGGTCAACACTGCTGAAACATCATTCCTGTATTGTCTTAGAAATAGACATCAAGACTGTTGATTGGTCAACACTGCTATTGCTGAAACATCATTCCTGTATTGTCTTAGAAATAGACATCAAGACTGTTGATTGGTCAACACTGCTATTGCTGAAACATCATTCCTGTATTGTCTTAGAAATAGACATCAAGACTGTTGATTGGTCAACACTGCTATAGCTGTCAACACTGCTATAGCTGAAACATCATTCCTGTATTGTCTTAGAAATAGACATCAAGACTGTTGATTGGTCAACACTGCTATTGCTGAAACATCATTCCTGTATTGTCTTAGAAATAGACATCAAGACTGTTGATTGGTCAACACTGAAAAACATCATTCCTATTGTCTGAAACATCAAGACTGTTCATTTCCTGTATTGAAACATCATTCTTAGAAATAGACATCAAGACTGTTGATTGGTCAACACTGCTATTGCTGAAACCAATCATTCCTGTATTGTCTTAGAAATAGACATCAAGACTGTTGATTGGTCAACACTGCTATTGCTGAAACCAATCATTCCTGTATTGTCTTAGAAATAGACATCAAGACTGTTGATTGGTCAACACTGCTATTGCTGAAACCAATCATTCCTGTATTGTCTTAGAAATAGACATCAAGACTGTTGATTGGTCATTCCTGTACTTAGAAATGCATAGTTGATTGGAAACTGCAATCATTCCTGTATTGTCTTAGAAATAGACATCAAGACTGTTGATTGGTCAACACTGCTATTGCTGAAACCTAATGCTGCTGAAATAGTTAACAACTTCATATGGTTAACATGTATATCAGTGGACATTTCTATTTTTGCAGCATAGGAAACAGTTTTAACATAACATTATCAGATTTACGATAGTCAAACTGTCCTCGTCGCCACCACTTAAGACTGAATGATCCAATTCTGCATGCTGCTCGTAAAACATGCCATAGTATTTCTCAGCTTTGTGTTCCTGGTGCTTGGTGTGATACCTGATGGCATATATCTGTACATCACATGAACCTAAATATACTGATTGTAAAATTTGAGGCAACACCTGACTGAACATGATGTAAATGAAACCACTCAAATGAAAACATTCAATGAATAAGTGTTCTGTGGTTTACGTTTGTCTCTCCATTTCAGAAAACAATACGCACGTGCATTACATGATTTGCTTGTGCATGCAGGTGAAATGCATGCATGTACACATTTCGCAATATGTTGTTTCGCGAGTAGAACTGTGTTAGTTGATGATTCATTAATATGGCTCTTGACCAGTTATCTGAGGCCACAAAATGGCAAATTGTAAGCATGAGAGAAGGTGGCATGTCCTTGCAGAAGATTGCAAGACGCATTAACGTCTGTCACAGCGTCATCAGCAAGTTGCTGAACAAACACCGCAGGACAGATGAAGTCAAGGTTGCCGCTGGTTGAAGTCGACCCAAAAAGACAAATTTGAGGGATGATAGATGGCTGCTACGAATGGCACGTCAGGAACCATTCTGGTCCGCAAATCAACTCCGTCATTGGTGGCAGCAAACGATGGTAGTTAATGTGTCACGGGAGCTGGTAAACAAACGTCTCTTAGCTGCAGGTCTACGAGCTTGTCATCCATTGAAAAGGCCCAGACTGACCAATCATCACATGCGCTTTCGTCTGGCTTGGGCACAGGCATGTCAAAACTGGAATTTGGCGTCAAATCATTTGCTCATTAGACCAGGTACAATCTGTACGTTGCTGACGGCCGTTTACGTGTCCAAAATCTTACCAACACTGCACTCAATCCTGAAAACAGTAGCTGGTGTCGGCGGATCAGTCATGGTATGGGTAGCTTTCTCACATGATCAGAAGGGGAATATCAAAGACATACAGGGCACGCTGAATGCAGAGAAGTATGGTTGTGACATCGAGAACACTCTGCTGCCTTTTCTGCATGCCAATCCTCATGTTGCGCACATCTACCAGGACGACAATGCACGTCCTCATCATGCAAGGATCATTACCGACCATAAGAGGCAGCATAACATTGAATCCTTTGATTTGCCAAGTGTAAGTCCAGATCTTAATCTGATCGAACACGTGTGGGACATGATTGGTCACCGTATTTCTGCCAGGAACCAGGCTGTGGCCAACATTCAAGAACTCAGGCAGGCCGTGCTAGACGAATGAAACAATCTGCCAATGCATTATTTCGAAAACTTGTGCTATCGACGAAGAGACGCTTTCAAGGAGGTGATATAGGCTTGTGGCAGATACACTCACTAATGATGACCCAGTTATTGTTTCAAATGTCAATTTCAGTGGATTCCATTTCAAGAAGTTCTATTGTTCCACAAAACATTAAAGAGTTGGCAAGATGAAGACATTTTTTCATCAAAATGTGAATACCTTTTGTTATGTGAATTTACCACTAGATTTCTCCAATGGAATAAATTATCTTGATTTTATAAACATACTGTGTTGTGTCGCTGCAGTTACTTTCAAGATAGTGTAGAATGTATTCACATTCCATTTTTGAAGGTAGCATACATTTTGCATACCAAACATGCATCTGAAAGCATTCGTAGCTTCAAATTTTAGGTGTTGCTTCAAATTTTACCATCAGTATAGTTTGCTTAGTGTTACTTCATTTTGTTTGTTTGCTTTTGGTCAACGCTGCATTTAGCAATATTCCAGCTACATGATAGCGGTCTGCAATCGAGCAATGATGTACACCACTTACTTCACGTTACCCCTCTTCTAGAGTATCCCTCCTGTCTCCTGTTGCCAGGTATTGGTTTCATTGATGTCTTTTGAAGACATTTCATAAATACGATGGCCAAATATTACACTGATGCTTTCGTTTGTTCGTTGTTTATCACCTCACTCAGCAATATTGCAGCTACATGGCGGCGGTCTGTAATTAATCGAGTCTGGACCAGACAATCCAGTGTTCAGCAGCATGAGTATCGATCTACGCAATTGGAATTTGATTACAAAGTGTTATTTTAAGCAATGAAAACAATTGCAGCCATGATTTTTCCGTGCACTCTTGATGGTTCTTCTAATTTCAACTTGGTCAGCGAACCCTACCACCCAATTTTGTCAGCTGAGAGAGAAGTCAATTCTCACGTCAAAGCTACCAAACTGATTTTTTAAGTCCATCAAATTTCAAACCAAGCACTTCTGCTAAATGCATCTATCTATATATTTCAAACGATGCATAAGAAGCAGTTTTATATACATTAACAAATTTTAACTGAAATAAAGTAAATAGCCTTATTTGATCTAAATCTGACCTTGAACTCTCCTAAGGTCATCTGGAAAAGATTCATCACTGTGTCTTCTAAAGTGGAAAACTTCTGGACATCCGAGTTGTCAGTTTCCACATCTCGGAACAGGAAGAAGAAGCCTAAAGTGCAAAGAAATGAATGAATTAGAATTATCTCAACATTATTAATGACGTTCCCCAAAAATGTCAAACAGGAAAAGGAGTATCATTGACAGATTATTTCAACAATAAAAATGCCTCTCAAAGAAATAAAATTGCAAATATATCAAATTCATTGACAGTATAAAATGCTTATGTCTCCTAAAAACGATTTGTCTTAAAAAAGAATCTGCAGTGAAAGAGAGGTGGGTATTGATTATTTTGGACTTAATTGAACAGAGAAAACACATAATTTCATACAATACATGCTTGTATTCATGGCACATGCTGTAAAGCTAAATATTACCATCATAAAATTAGTCCTTGTGGTTACATTTTGCAGATGAAAATATTATTCACGCAAATTGAGGGAGAATTAGTGTTTTCATAATTTAGCTGACAAATCTTAACAAATACTAAAACGTCAGACTGTTGCCAGGCAGATATGATATAAGATGGGTGTGTGAGTTTAGTTTTACGCCACACTCAACAATATTCCAGCTATATGAAGACTGTCTGTAAATAATCAAGTCTGAACATGACAATCCAATGATCAACAGCATGAGCATTGATCTGCGCAACTGCCAAACGATGATATGTGTCAACCAAGCCAGCGATCCTGGCCACCCGAATAATCGCCTCTTACGACAAGCATGGGTTAATGAAGATCAATTTGAACCCGGACCTTCACGGGTTGATATATGATGAGGCACAGTGCATCTTAAACCTACCTTGAGTGAATCCAATTAGAAAGATAAGGTAGATCAGAGCGAATCTGAAGAGGTCCCCTTTAATCATCTTATAGATCATGGTAACGAAAGGGCCGGTTAGTTTGACACCCCTGTGGAAAAGTGCAAAAACAACAATCAAACTGTGTAGCTCAACATCAATTGTGCTCATTGTGCAGTTAGTACAAAGTTAGTAATAACACCGAACTTATACTGATACAACTGCATCAGCAGTATTCTGGGACAATGTCCCACAGGGTTATCTCCCCTTTCTAATACCACACTTTCTATATGTGATAATTCTTTGTCTTGCTAATATATTGTGAGTGGAGTTTAGTTTTATGCCACATTTAGCAAAATTACAGCAATATCACAGCAGGGGACACCAGAAATGGGCTTCAAACATTGCACCCATGTGGGATATCGAACCCGGGTCTTCAGTGTGGCTTCAGTGTGTTAAAACGCTTTAACCACTAGGCTACACCACCACCCCTGCTAATCTGTAACAGAGTTGGGTTTAAAGCTGCTTTGAACAGCTACATCATGGTGTGTGAGGTTGATGTGGCAAAAAGAACGATAAAAGTGATGCAGGTCATAGATGTATACTACTTGGGGAAACAGACGCACAACCCAAAACAACAGATTCAAACCCATGACATAATTCAAACGCCATCACGCCAGAGCCATGTACATCATGAAGTCTTACAAAACCAGTCAACTGTTCCCCATCCCATCACTTGGTAATCAATAGTTTGTGATGGTTAAAAAAACCAAGAAATATTAAAAAATTAGGCATTTGATAATGTGGAAATTTTGATTGCCATGAAATTACTGGGTTGGTCAGTTTTCTGGATCTTATGACTAAAGGATTTTCACGTGTTTTCATTTAGGAGATAAACATCATGTGTTGGCCAATTTCCGGATGTTATTGAGTTTTTGAAGCAATTCATTTAGAGCCGATGGCGTTAGCAGGAGGTTTCAGATGAAATATTCCCGTGCTTCAAATACTCAATTACACACGGAAATTGGCCAACACATGATGTTTATCGACAGTGTAAACAAAATAGTAAACAAAAGGTCCACACATGTTTTTCGGTCGGCACACAAAACATCGTGTATGGGTACAGCAGTGAAGTCACTGTCATCTGGCCGTTTCAGCTGGTTCCCATGGTAGCATTTGGAACTGCTCATTCGTAAAGTCATTCCGACTTTACATTACAATATGATTTGAATGTCGTCACCACTGCTGACTACACAATACAATTGTGTACAATATTTGTATGTATTAATATGCAGGGAATAGTCCTGCAATTCAGGGAATCGAATACCATTCGATCATGTTTTTCAACCAATCAGATAAAAGAACAAAGTGACTTTTCGTATACAATTTGGTTTAGTATTTGTGAGTTGGTGAGTTTAGTTTTATGCTGCTTTTAGCAATAGTCCAGAAATATCATGGCGGGGGACAACAGAAACGGGCTTCGAACCCGGGTCTTTGGTGTCAACCACTAGGCTACCGCCCGCCCCTAGTATTTGTGAACTCATGGGAATTCAGGGCCCTACAGCTTATACAGAAGTCTCAAACTGTAGTTTCCTGAAATCTAAAACAGACATCAAAGATCTTGAATGTCCAAACACCGGCAGGTAAGTGAAAATCAAGATATGCACCATAACCTGACACCAGGAAGTGAACCAAGGATTGAAACAAAAGACCAATAGATAAATAGGAACACTCCAATCGTCTGAAATAAAGTCCTGTTAAACCTCTCAAGATAAACATCATGAAGATCATATACTGCGTGTTTCTGTGCAATAATGCACACTGTAGTAATTTGATCAATACACTCGTGATATGTTGTCAGTTTAGTCTGGTCAAACACAGAGTTTTATGGATAAAAGAAAAATGTGTGCGTGTGTGTGTGTGTGAGAGCCATAATGCACACAGTCATATCTAGATGTACACACAGTGACTTGAAGTCTGTTAGCAGTGTCAAATAACAAATCTCTTCTACACTATTTAATCCCATTCAGTCAGGGATGGAAATAACCCATTGCCCGACGCCCCAGTCCAGTGTTTTTTTCTGTCGGGCAAGGAAATTTGTATATGATGCTGTACCAGTTTCCAGTTGACTTTCCAAATGTTAATTATGTTGCTTATTTAAAAAATCAACAAGAAAATTGGCCGGTATAGTGGAAAAATTATCAGGGCAAGTGATTTTACATGTGCAACTGTACCGGAGTACACTAGCAATTTTAAAGTTATTTCCACCTCTGTCAGTATGTCAAGTTTTTAAACGACAGGCTTCCTCTCTGTTCCAGAAGATACCCAGCTCTATGAAACATCACACCATAAAGAATTTCTTTCAGTGGCATTTTAGAACTTGGGCATACGATATTGACAAACTTACATTTGTTGTGAATGGCTTCAGTGAGTTTGAATTGGTGAAGACTGTTTGATCGAGTAAGTTTAACTTCACCACATCCAGACCTCACCAAATGCAAGCTCACCCAAACAATTCACATCAAACACCAAAAGCCATCAACTGAGATCAAGGATATTTAATGATGCACTCCTCCACCAAGCCCAATCTACTGTGTAAACATCTCCTCCTTTCTGAACCACCCCTTTAGTTGTACATCTCTGGCTTTCTCCTCTTTTCCTTTGTTAACTAGCTGGCTTTAAAACACACACGGCCATTTTAGAAACTGGTCAAATGTAACATGTTATATTAAGCTGGCTTTATCAGCTTACTGCATAGCTAGTAGGTGACTATTGAGGGGGAAACAACTATTGCGATAGAGACAGTCCAACTATTGCAATACTATAACAATAGTTTTTTCTCTCTTTGTAATGTCTCATTTGAAGTCATTTCCCAAATGAATGTATTGTTTATATGAAATAAAAACAAGCTGAAGTAGTTTCAGTCTCTTTAAATAACTGACAAGAAACTTGAAACCCAGATGAAGTTTGTTCAAGAGGTAACAGGGGCGGACAATTTTAAATAAAAGTGAACAAATCTGGTACTTTGTGTATATTTTGCTGCGCATTTTTCAACGGAAGTCAATTACTAAACTATTGACAGTCACACATACTATCGATGCATTGATAGTTTTAGGTTTCTACAATCAATTAATTGCTATTGGAGACTCAACAATTGGAATCCATCGATAGTTCGATTTATCATTAGAGCCCTAGTAGCCAGTTATGTTGTTTTCTTTGTCCGTGTGCGAAATATGCATCATGTCAGAAAGTGCATGCTAAATCTCCAAATCATCATCATCATCATCATCATCATCATCATCATCATCATCATCATCATCATCAAGAAGTTGTTATAAATAAACTTTGTCATAAAAGAAATGCTTGTGAATATGGTTTTACACGCTTTTAGTAATATTCCAGGAATATCCAAGTGGGGGCCTCCCCAGGGCACACATGGTTACATATTGTACCCATTTGGGAAATCCAACCTGGGTCTTCGGCATGACAAGGAAACACTTAAACCACTAGGCTACCCCACCTCCCCCTTGACTTCCTTGACATATGTACCATCGTACCATATAAAGTAGCAAAAATTCCTTACTCAATTTAAAACAAGGGTATGAATGTTCAGCCTTGTTGATTACCTGGCTGTTCTACCAGCAATTGGTCCTCCCTCGTAAGAAGTAGCGAAACGTAACAACAATATAATGATCGTTTGTTAACTCATTAAGCCCGAGAGCCCCATCACTACTCAACACCTGGAAGCCCTCACTGATTGCCCACTCTCTGTGCCGAGACTAATTAGTGCTAGTCACACCTGATTTCCCTGGCAGGTTTCGGGGATCACAGGAAACTGTCTAGTCATACAAACAAGTCCTGATTGTTTAATTGTGTCGTAAAGATATATGTTGAAAGAAATCAGGTGTGAATACATGTCGTGTATTGCAAGCTTTATGTAATTTTATTGCAAGTTTCTCTTGTAGACCTTTTGTCGGTTTGTACATTTATGTTTTATCACAATATGCATACACATGTATTCTTTGTACGCAACAAATGAGACACACGTTAACAAATACTCTCTCTTATATCATTGTGTGAGGTTTAAATTTACAAAACATCTATGACAATGACAGCACAAAGCAAGAAGAATTTACTTTCATACTTTATAATCTTCGACGAAAATAACATATTCCTTGCATAGACATAAAACAAAGAGTCACGTGATAGGGCATCATCAAATTTCCCGAATAGAACGTTCGGTATCTCAACTGTTCAATGTAGTGGCTGGTCATATGTTATCTGCGACCAATCGTATCATGAGATACCTGTCACAGAGGAAAGGACAGGTGATGGGCGTGGGCGAAATTTCTGAAGAGCACGTTTGGTCACTCAGCAGCTTGGATAGAGATTGGTTATTGGCTATATCCTTGACCAGTCGATATGCTGGGTTTCGGCTTTATCAACTCAAGCTATCATGTAACAGTTTGTGTATTGTAAACATACACACTGGTAACGATGTATGAAATATACACATAAGACAAATAGGAGTAGATAGTCACTTTGGCAAGTTTATTTGTCCTCATTTTAGTGTTTTTCGATAAGTAAAACAAAGCGATTGAAATCCAACCACTGAGTAGAAGTAGTATTTATTTTCATACACATTTTATGCACACAACTAGTACATAAAACATAATGGTTTGCTGTACATGTAAATATAATCTTCACCTTGATACGAATGACTATCCAAACTAGAGTACACGCATTACAGAATTCACGAGGTGACACTATACTGAATTATTATAGTGTATAAACTTGCAGTTGACACCCCTACCCCAATATTTATGAAGGTGAAGTGCCTATATCTTCACTGAATGCAAAGCGAGGTTCATAAGATTACAGATGTGCATGCATGTATAAACATCACAGAGAGGGCGTGAGTCCATAAAGCAAGATGTCCAATGATATAACAGCGCATCTGTTTATTTTACACTTGTCGCGGGACAAACCTTTCAACAAGGACGTAACTACATATGCATTCTACCGAGGCTGTTATTTCAAGGTCGAAGAGGCGTTCAATTATCTCATTACTGTAATCTGCTTGAATGATCATACGCCTGTGTATCGATACCG